TCTGGAGGGAAGAATTGGGCTATTCCTGTTGCTACTTCTGTGTGTGTGTGTATGTGCGCACATGTGTGCGGGCGTGTGTGTGTGTGTGTGTGTGTGTGTGTGTGTGTGTGTGGTATTGTATGCTATGTTATTTCAAGATCTCAGGGACAGCCTAGGTTGGGAGACCTACATGTTTTCAGTGCTCTTAAAGTGGTCTAATCCAAGGCAAAGTCTGATTGCTGCCCCCATAGTCTGAGCTCTGTGAGTCAGCAGTCCGAGTCGGCTGAGTAGCATTTACTCCTGTTGGTCCAGAATGACAGAACTGCAGGCTCCTCTTTGGTCTGAGATTCCTGCTCTGGTTATTTCTCTGCAGACATCAGAAAGGGCTAGAAGTTGGAACTGAGACTGTTCTGTTCTCAAGGTTCAAGTTACACTGCTGCTTCTTGCTTCTGAACTCGCTCCCCCCTCGGTATACCACCTAGGCTCTGTGATTGTTCTTTACCCTGGAAAGGCGCCTGTGGGCACAAATTCCCTCCTTGATCCTCCCTGAACCTGGGACTCAGAACTGGATAGTAGGAAACACGGCTGCCAGTTGTCTCCTGTTCACACAACCTGTAAAAGGTCATGGTGCCCTAGCAGGAGCCAGAGACCTCGTCTTGCCCCGATGTACAGTTTCTTCCTGTGCTGAGCATCGCCAGCCCCAATCCCCAATGTCTGCAGACCTCTCTACTTCTCTGTGTCAAGCTAGACTGGAAAAATAACTCACTGTGACTTTTTCTTGGAATTTCCCAAGAGAATTCTAGTGCATGCATTTTTAAGATAAGTTTAGAGGAATATATATATGTACATATGTATATAATATACATTATATACAAGACATACATAATATACACACATACATACACACATACACATATATGTATATATGTGTGTATGTGTGTGTATATATACATATACATATATATATACATATACATATATATACATACACACACACACACGCACACACACACACACACACACACACACATATATATAATATAATTATATTATATATATATATATATATATATATATATATATATATATATCAAATTTTCAGGAAATTAGGGAGGGTGGGGAGCTTATTCTTCTTCCTGCTACTGCACCATCTTCCCTGAGAGGCTGGCCTTGTCTCAATCTTCATCCTTCTTATCCTGTCAGCAGCCTCTGACATTGCTGACTATCTTCTTCTGGATCTCCTCTCTTTGAGTTTTTGTAACGATGCTTCCTCTTCTCAGTCTCCTTTTCTGGCTCATCATCCACATTATGCCCCTTAACCGTGGGTACACCTCAAGGCTCTATCCTGGTACCTTTTATCTTTCTATGGTTCTTAATCTGGTAACCTCTTCCTCTCCCATGGCTGTAATTATCATCTCTATGAAGATGAGTCCCAAGGTTATTTACCCAGCCATGGTCTATTTCCTGAGCTTCAATCGCATATCTCCAATTGCCTATTGGTTATGGCATCTCAAATTCAGCATATCCCAAATAGAACTCTTTGACTTAATTTTTTTTTCAGACTTGATGAAGTCTGACCTGATGAAGATGTGAATATGATCTGATGAAGAGTGAAGTGATAAGAACAAATTATATATTAATAACATCATTGTAAAGGCAAACAACCTTGAAAGACTTAAGGATTCCAGTTAACACAATGACCAACCACAATTCCAGAGGACCCACCTCCCAACAGACAGGTGATGGACTCAGAGTACCAGAAATACATACCTATACATGCATATACATTCATACATGTGTGTTTGTGTGTATAGGCATATGCATGTATGTGTACATATGCACACACACTTATATACATACATATATAAAAACACATTCATGCAATGTGCACGTAGATTCGATCAATATGTATACATGTATATATGTATACACATATGCACACACGTATGTGTATATATATGTATGTATATATATATATGTATGTATATATATATATATATATATATATATATATATATATATATATATATATATATATATATATATATATATATATATATTATATATATATACATGCATGTATATTGGGCATGGCCAGTGTGGGATTTCGTTTTTCTTGATTATGCATATTTGTTATGAGGGTTTTTCTTTCTTTTCAATCAATGGGGAAGGGGTAGAAGAGAGAGGAAATAGATTTCTGTTAATTAAAAGATATAATTTATTGGCTTTCCCAAACCAAAACCAATCTTTCTTCTAAAATCTCCTATTTCTATAGAGGACCTCCTCATCCTCCCAGACACCCATTAACTCCCCACCTCTTCACTCTGCCTCACACCAACTGTTCATCATTGCTACTTTTACATCTCTTGCATCCCATCTGACTCTTTAGCTTAGTCCACAAAGCCATCATCCTGGTTCAGTCCTCATCACCTTCATTACCTCTTACCTGGACTATTACAATTGTCCGCAAGTTGTTCTCCCCTTTCTCAAGGCTTTCTGCTCCAAACCACCTAGCAACCAAAGGGATTTTCTTAAAGTAGAGGTCTAACCATTTCCCCCCCTTTACTTTTGGAGAGAAAAGAAGATTTGTGAAAAGCTCTGTGGTGAAAGGGATGATCAATTAGAAAAGAATAAAAGGATTGCCTTGCTGCAGCAAGGACCCAGTTGAGAGTAGGTAATCAATTTGTTACCTCACTCAATGGTTTCACTGACTTCCTCCAGCTCCGTTTAGCAGAATGTGAGGGAAGGAGGAGGTGGATGGTGGGAATAATGCAATTGGGTTTTGGCAAGGCACAAATAGTGATAAGACAAGAGATCAAGAGATTTGTCTGTAGCAAAAAGTTGAATGGAATTGGTTAACTAGAGGATCAAGTTGGGGAAGAGAGGAAAGTTTAGCCAGAGCAAGGGTGATAGCCTTGGAAAGCACCAAAGGGGGAGGTCACAGAGAGGATAAAGAATAGGTTTAGGAGATATAAAGCATAGAAAGAGATAAGATAATGAGATTATGATCATGCCAAGGAATTTCACAATTCTTGACTATGGATGTGGAACATGTAGTTGATAATGAAATCAAGAGTGTGGCCATGGCTGTGGGTAGCTAAGATGGAGTGGAAGGCTGGGGATAGCATGTACAGCCAGAAAGAACTTCTGAATAGATTTCCAGTCCAAACTCTTTGTATTTCTGATAAGGAAAATGATGCCTATTGGCAGTAAGTGGCCTGCCCAAGGTCACATGGCTAGTAAAAAGCAGAAGGGAATTCTCTGACTCCAAACCGAGTGCCTTTTCTGCTACCATATGCAATTTGAACAACAGCTTGATTTGGTAGTTTCTTGAAGAATTTTGAAAGTTTCTTGAAGACAGGGATGGTTGCTCATTTTGCCTTTGTATCCCCAGCGCCTAGCACTGTGCCTTGTGCACAATAGTTGTTGGATTGGAATGAATTAACACGAGCATAGCGCAACTGAAGTTTCCTAAGGACAGGATGTGCCCTGGAGTAAGGGAATTAGGATGGTGTCTAGGAAGATGGGAGAGCTTCTAGGAAGAAGTCAGTCAGTCAATAAGAATTTATTAAGCACCTACTACGTACCAGTCACGGTATAAGCATGACCAGTACAAAAAGAAAGGCAACAGAGAGTCCTGGTCCTGGAAGAGCTCACAATAACGGGGGAGATAACATGCAAATAACTATGTACAGGATAAATAAGAAATAATCAACAGAGGGAAGGCACTAGAATTAATGGGGATCAGGAAAGGCTTTTCTGTAGAAGGCCGAATTTTAGGCTGGCATTTGAAGGCAGCTAGGGAAGCCAGGAGGTGAATTGAGGAATAAAGACTGTGAGTGGGGGAGGGGACGAAAGCAGAGCAGGCAGCCAAATGAAAATGCCTGGAGTTGAGAGATGGAGTGTTTTGTCTGAGGAACAGCAAGGAGTCTAATGTCACTGCATAGCAGAGTACATGGCGTGTGTGTGTGTGTGTGTGTGTGTGTGTGTGTGTGTGTGAGAGAGAGAGAAAGTTGTAATAAATCTACATAGGTGAGGGAGTGGGAAGGCAAGGTTATGAAGGACTTTAAATACAAAACAGAGGATGTTATATTTGATCCTGGAGCTGATATGGAACCATTGGAGTTCATTGAGTAAGGGGGGCGGTGGAAGGGGGCAACATGATGTGGTCAGACCTACGCTTATGAAAAATCACTTTGATGGGTGAATGGAGTATAGACTGGAGTAGGAAGGAATTTGTAGCCGACAGACCAATGCATTAGCCCAGACATGAGGTGATGGTGGTGGCAGTATCACAGGACCGAAGGGCGTGTATTCAAGAGAGGCTGCAAAGGTGAATTCAGTAGGCCTTGGCAAGAGATCAAGATGGGGGGGGGGTGGGGCAGCGTTGTATATGGGAGATGGTGAAGTTGAAGATTATTCTCAGGAAGAGGATATACTCTTGGACAGAGGAAGGGAGGAGGGAATTAGGGAGCATTTATGAGTATTTAGAGGATGGTGATCAAAGGTCATCCCCCTAAAACATATACCCTTTGGTCCAGCGTCTATATTTCAATCCCTGGCATGAAAGCAGGGGAGTAAGTGATGACTTTGCTTCCCAGCCCTAGCTGGGGGCCTACCTGGGCAACCTAGGTGACTGAGTTTCATGGGTAACAGGTGATCGAGAGGATTCTAAAGGGAATAGAATGAGAAGCAGACAGTGGGAGGCTCCAGATCCCCTCAGGAGGCCAGGGCAGAGCCCGGAAACACCACCTCCAGGCACCCTCTAATCCCAGGTGAGAGGCGGTGGGAGAGAGGAGCAGGAACAGACACCTCCTCACATTACATAGAGCTGCTGCTGGGTATTTAATCCCAGGAGTCTTTAAAGCTAGAAGGAATCACCTTTTCAGAACTACCCCATCCCAATATGATAGACTGGAAACTGTGTCCAAGAGAGGAGGAAGGGACTTTTCTTTTCCACAGTGAGTCAGTGGCAATCTGACGACACCCCACAGACACCGACAGCAAGGAAGTTTCGACCTTTTTATTCAAAGCAGCTTCTCACAATGTATAAATACTGCATATTAACACACATGAAAAATACAACTTCTAAGGCACCCAGAAATGTGTCCATACACTAGTTACAGGACCATTCACAAAGAGAATTTGATGTAGACAGTCAATATTTGTTATAGCAGAAGATACAAGTCCCTTGGGACTTCACCCATTCTTGGGAAATATTTACAGCAAAAAGAGAAAAGGGACCCTGGTACTGTGGGATATTAAATATTCATAATGACAACTATCAGAAACTAGCTGAAGTCTCTCCTAGGGTAGTCTGTCAAAATAAATTAAATGCCTAAATTTGAAAAGTTGTTCATTTGATTTTAGTGTGTGTATAATAAATACACCATTAGCCACAAACTCCCCAAAAGGGTTGGGCGAATTATTGGTGGCCTGCTCCATCCCAGGCACTGGCGATAAGCCTTGCCACTAGACAGCATGTCATAGCTTCACTGTCCACACTATTCAATAGCTCAATGGATAGGAGGGGACGGTTTCTGTACTAAGTTTTCAAATGCCTGGGAACGGACCTGTTGTTTGTCATGGGAAGGGAATGAAAATCCTGCTCACTCCAAACATACTGTGGTTGTTCTGAGTGGGTCTACATAAGACAAGTGGAGTGGAAATCTGGTAGTCCTTGGGTTTACTTGATCTGCATAGACAGAGCAGCCAATCTACATCAGAGACTGTTTTTGCAATTCAGGCGTCACTGATTGAATTAGCCTGGGGATCACCAGAGCTCTGCTTAGCTGGTAGAGGCTGTGTCTCCATAGCAGGAACAGCTTGATCCTAGCACAGACAAAACTGAGTTTGGGTCTTTGAAACCCGGGACCACTTGACTCTTCAGTACGGATTGGTATGTTGATGGAACTGAGCAGATATCACTGTGCTGTAGTCTTATTGTCTGTCTCTGCATACTCACAGCCATGATCTCTATGTAACTAATGGTTTGAGGGGGAGAAATGTAATTCTTTGGTCCTTAGTTTCTATGAAAGGCAAATTTTTCACAATCCTGTGGACAGGGAGATAAGTTGGTGAATGACAATTAGGCTGGGTCTAAATAGATAGAGAGCGAATCAGACATGGTGCCATAAACTCTAGCCCTTCTCATCTTTCCAAGGCCATCTTAAGGGGGCACAAGGGTCCGTGCAAGCATTTTCATCTCACTGGATTTGGTCACATCTGTGTATATATTTTAAACCAAAGCCTGACACCACCAGCTAACCTCAGTATGAACTAGGGCAAATAAGGGCCTACTACAAATATTAGCTAGGCATATTTTTCTTGTTACTCAAGTGGATGATGTTGCCACAAGACAGGAAATAATTTATTGACTTTTTGAATGTTCACTGGATATTAATTTATCTAAGGTTAGTCATCATGCAGACTTGGCAGAGAGATTTGTTAATATCTGTGTATCTACTGGGCTAACCAGATAGAACCAAAACACTGGCTTCATTCAATTTTCTTGGCCATCTGGCAGGGCAAAATTATACCGTGAATGTGGGCTTACAAACCTCACACCTTGTTTGCCACTTAAGACGACCCTGGATGACTACAACAAACAGACTCTTACAGTATTGTGAGTAATTCGCCCGTGCCCTACAGACCCAGGCTTAATATGGCTTAACACACATAGTTAATTGGATAGACACAGAGAACACAGCCAGAATGCTGATTGCTTAGCTGAAAGATAATTAAGATTGTCTACACAGTAAGTCTCTTACTTAAAACGTCATTAATGTTTTCTAAGGAATGCTGGCCTCAGCTAGGCTGCCCTTTACAGACTTAGCTGCGCTGAGTTTGCAGCTACCATGAACTATGATGGCCAGGAGCAGGGTGCATGTACAGTTCACTCAAACAAAGCCCAGCCTGATAATTTTCATGTTGGCTGTGTTGTTACCACTAAAAATAACGGGATGGGGATCCTTGACCCAGTTCTTTATCAGGCCAGATAGAATGGCCAGGAGTAATTCTCATCAACCTGGTCGACCAACACACAATGAATTGCAAACACAGCCCAAAACACTGGACCCACTCACCAACTCCATCACACTGCTTTGACACAGCCCATGTCGTTTGGTAGAAACAACCCGTATTAACATTTTTGCAACAAACTTAAGGCTCTGTTCTCAGCCACTATCAACTGCTTCATAGCATTTCTTCAGGGAAGTTCTTGAGGGCACTACATATGTAGTTACAAAGGTTGAAACATTATGGAATCCAATGGTAAGAATTCTTCAAGAATATGATACTTTTTCAAATTCCACTTCAAGCTTAATTATTTTGAGAGAGAGAGAGAGAGAGAGAGAGAGAGAGAGAGAGAGAGAGAGAGAGAGAGAGAGAAATGTGTCCTCTAACATTAAAGAGCATTAGATTCTAATGCACAACTATTGGCACCAAACCAGTACGATATTGGTTGAAAGAACAGTTACTAACTGTGTAAAAGATTGCCTAAAACGCATATATCCAGCTCTAACACAGAAATAGAAAAGTTTAGAATTTCAAAATATATACTGTATTCAAGTCTGAAAGCATTTAACCCAAGATCTGCCAAAGAGACCAAGCAACATTTATCTACAATAAAAATATACATGCAAAATGACCCCCCCCACCCCCAACTGTTTCCCTTAAATATTGACAAAGGCAAAGTGGAGAGTCTGGAAGATTCTATAAACAAGGTACCAAGAATAAAATAAAATACTGAGCAAGAAAATTCCATTTGCATTCTCACATACTGTGAGTCTTTGTGATGGTATCCAGACTGATAGATCGAACAAGGCTGTCACTCTGAACACGAAATGAATATAGGAATTCAGATGAGAATAAACTCTGGGTCTCCTATGGGCAATCAGGAAGACTGGGAAAAAGCTACTGTTTGTTCTCTTTGAAAAACAAGCTTTCACCGAAACAAGGTTGTAAAATCGCATGAACATGAATCAGATGCTTTTGTTTTTTTAAAAACTGGAAGAACTTGTGTGTATATGCATTTTTACCAAAAAATCAATTATGAAAAATGAATCTATTTTTCACTTTGTAAAAGTATATGTTTAAAAAATGTGAATGTTAAAGAATGTGATGGCACTGTTATGAGATCAGTTATATTGTTTCTTTTTTTTCCCTTTTCCATTCCAGATCTTCTACGGATAAAACACGTTTTCACGTTAGGAAGACAAGTGTCTTAGATCAATCAGCACAGGATGAGCATGTATTTTAAATCAGTGACCTAGCACCTTATATTGTTTTAGCATTATACATGGAGCGTGTGACTTTGCTAGGGTCTATACAAAGGTATCCTTCCCTTGCTGGGGAGGACAGACTGGCTCATCTTGGGGTGGATACTACAGTAGTTTCTTAGTGGTCAACCTGCCTCTGTGAAACTAGGCTTTTTATGTTCATCCAATAATGGTCTCTGGCTTTAATAGAGCATCCTTCAAAGGCAACTGTGGGCCTCACTCTTCTCTTATGGGCAACTACTCATTGGCCAAGGTGTTTAGGCCTGCCTGGTAGAGAAGGCCATAACTCTTCCTGGGCCAGAGGACTGAGGAAGCTGAAGGATGGAGACCAAAATAGGCCTCAAGTAGTAATGACTGTAGACCTTTTAAAAGGTCCTATTCTCAAAGGGTTTAAGATGTGGAGGTTAGGTAACCATATGTCTTCCTCTCCCATTTTCCTACATAAGAATCTCTTTGACCAAGCATTTCTGAAGCATGATAGAGAGTATAGATATAGAGCTTAAGGGACTTCAGAAAGCTATCTCATCTAATCATTTCTTTTTACATGTGAGGAAACTGAGGCCCAGGGACCTTCAGAAATGGCAGGATTTAAACCCAGGCACTCTTATCATCATACCATAGAAGACTCAGTCATTTCATGTCAAAAGGAGAAACACGGATCCCCATTCCAAAATTCTCCAATGAGGAGCTTCAGGGAGGCTGGCCATCACTCCTGACTGGCAGATCTTCCCATGTGCCCTCCTACATCTAGAGGCATGGATGCTGTTGGAGGGCAATAGGATAAGGAAGCATGGAGTGGGTACATATGCTAACCTGTAAGGTAGGACATCTCTGTAAGCAGACTTCCAAGTTAGGCCTTAAGAAAACTGTTGTTAAGCCAGCCTCAAAATGCCCAAGTTCTCAATCTCAGTTAGTTTCACCAATGGTCCTATAGGTTGTGTCTATATGACAGCAAACACAGATTTAAAAAGTAAAAAAATAAAGTTCTATTTGTCAGTTGGTAGTATCTGGTACCCAACTGGTTTGCCCAACTCTCATCAAATTGACTGCATTGATGATGTTTTTTTTCTGAAATTATTGTATGTAGATTAAGTCACAGATGGTACCTATTTTTGAAGTTGGTTTATCAATGTGCCTCTTCTTTAATGCCCAAAGAATGAATGAAGTCATTCTCACCCTAGACAAATGCAAGATATTACAGATATCATTTCACTTTGTTGTTTAACTATCACGAATTCCTGTACTGAAGGGCTGGGTGGACTCTATGACCCAAAGGCCATCAAGAAACTGATGATTTTTCAGTACAGACCCCAGATATTTCATCTGCTAGTATCAGTTTTGAAACATTTACTTCCATTTGATAAAAGGAACTCAAGCCTTCCCCCCACCCCGATTTTGCAGAGAATAGATCTTCCTCTCCCTAGGAAACTGCCATATGAGAACCCAACAGATGCTCTGGGTGTTCAACAAAGAATAGGTCCTCAGGCTATCTGCCCCACAATAAGAAGATACTTTGGCCAAGGCTGATAAAACTCTTACATTGGTCCTTTCAAAAGAAGCACCCTTCGCAAAGCTGGGTTTGCAACAAGAACTCAGTGGGTGAATTCTTCCTTATGTTGTGGGGGTAGGGGGAAGGCAGAAGTTTTTTTTCCTATTTCTTTCCTTTTCTCTAGATTATGTGAATCCCAGATGAATGAAGCAGAAAATACCTTAACTGTGTTTTTTTTTTCCTGTTCTACCATATATCTACTGGCTTTGGATGGCTGGGGGTGCTGCTTCTAAAGAGCCATGGCTAAAGAAGACTAAGTGTATGAAGAGTATGGTGTGGGTGTCAGGGCCTTGCCTTGAGCTCAGCCCCAATTCACAGGAGAAGCCCAGGTCTTTGCAGCCACATGGAGGCCCCAGATGTGAGGCCAAGCAATCCCCCTTCACATGAGCTAAAATCAGACTGAGCAATCTTTTCTAGAAAGTCACGCCATGGAAAGGAATACGGCAATAATTGCAGCGATGGCTCTCTTTGCAAACAGCCCCCCTTGGTTGGTATTTTACTCCTGAGGTCCATGAAACACTGGGCTAACAGAGGAAGGAAGGGAGGTTTACGAGTGTCTGAGAAGACTCAAGATGGAGAGCAAGACAAGGAGAGAAGAGGGGAAGAGCATCCTCATTCACTTTCTCGGCGTGAGTGTCTGCCCCTTGATAGATTTAATTTCTTTCATACTTTTTGCGCTAATTTCTACATAGACTTTTCGACTTGGTGCACTCTTCTCGGTTTTTCCCCTTCCAAATGAGAAAAAGTCTCCCTTCTAATGGCTAATTCTAGGTCTTTTTTAATGGCTGATCCAAAGGTGGTACCAAAGCTTTCTTAAAACTTAAACATATTTAATAGTAGGATGATAAGCATTTATTGCTCTCTCTTTTGGCTCCAGGACTCTGGAAGAAGTTGCTAGAGGGCCAGCTTACATTTGTTAATGCTACCTAGGAGGACTCTTCTGCCTATAGCCCATCAAAACCAAGACGTCCCCTATGGTTCTCAAAAGCCCAATGGACAAAGGTGTTAGCCCCAGCGTGATGTAATAGATTCAGCAATCGGTGTCAGGAAGACTTGGGATTGAACCCTGCCTCAGACACTTGTTAATTATCTGGGCAAGTCATTTAACCTCTTTGGGCCTCGGTTTGCTTATCTGTAAAGTGAGAGAGTTCTATTCAATGACCACAAAAGTCCCTTCCGGCTCTACATCTATGATTCTTTGCTTTCGCAAGACCGCCACAAGACAGGTGGACCAAACACCATCATTTGTCCCAAGCTAACATGTTCTAGGCTGGAGAAGAGATATTTCACAAAACGATGCTGCCTCCACCTTTTCCTCAGAGCAGGTTACTGTGAATTGAGAATGAGTAGACATGGTATCGGCTAGAATGTACAATTCTCCCCAAAAGGACAGTCAGTGAAGAGAAACAATTTTCCACCATTATTCTTTGTGATGCAAGCACATTACAGCTTTAAGCAGCTTCCCACTCAGGAGAGGGTCAGAAGTATTCATTATCTGGAAAAGTTCAATGTTGCTTTTCGGTTGGAATTTTCTCTCATTGTGGCTCATTACTAAGATGTGCTGACTAGCACATGCCTTGAATTTGGTCCAGGGCAGTATGAAAATAACATCTCTGTGAATAACAGACAGCTGAATATAAACACAAATAAATAAGTTAAATAAGTTTAATTAAAGGAAAAAAACATTTTTCCTGGTAGCTTTTGCAAAAAGAAAAAAAAACTAATTTTACATATAATACACATAAATTATTAGAATCGCCACTTACAGTGTTGAAAAATATATATTTAACAAAACGTTTCTAAATTTACAATATCTGGGTTTGTAAATTACTTTTGTTAAGATTTTTAGACCAAGCCCTAGATGTCACACAGATCCTTGTGGCAACAGGAAGGATACTGAGGCAGGGTCTATGTGATTGATTGGGCTGGTCTTGCCTGAGGATGACGGACTCCAATCAATCATGCTCAATCTAGTCCTTTGACTGGCATTCGAGCGTCCTAACAGCTGGTCAAAAGTTGATACCCTCCAAAGAGTGGCACCCTATTGGCACAGCCCAAGTCAAAAGGACAGAGAAAACTGGAAAGGGTACTGCCTTACTGGATCATGGCAATGTAATACAGAACCAGAGGAAGCTGCACGTCTAGCAAGGAGACAAGCTTCCTCCTGGAAGAGACAGCCCTTAGGGGAACCCCTGACCAACGTAGGCAAACCGAGAATGCTGAGCCCCACATCTGTGATACAAAAGCAAACCAACGTAGAAACAACCCGGTAACATCCCAGAATGACTCACGAGGAAAACTGACACAACCCTAGGGATGGAGAGACATTCACAAGCTCCTTTCTAGAACACTGGCCTCCAATGTTTCAAACACAGGGAAGAGCTGGAAGTCAGGATCACTCTGGGCACACACACAGAGTGAGGGTGCAAAAATCATAGCAGAGCCTTTCAGACTTCATAAATTTTTTCTTGCAGGTAACTGAATAATGAATCCAAGCCTTTGGAAGAACTCCATAGCTGCCTTAGCATCTGACATTCTTTCTCATTCACATCCTCGAGGACCGATTTCAGGAAGCTCCGGACGAGGCATTTAGATTCTTCTAACACCTGGAGAGGAAAACATCGAGTTAGACTGGGTAGCCAACACCCAGCTGCCGTCAGCCAGGGAAACGTTCTCCGGCCACCCAGCAGGATACGGCTGATGATGGTAGGCAAAAAGGTAGATTTCTGGTGACTGTGTCTTCCCTCAACTATCCCCTGTGCATCCTTTCTTAGCCTGTGCTTGGGACGAGTTCCTTGTAATGCCCTTTCAAAGCTCTTTTCAACAGATAAAAAAGCACGGTCATAGAAGCAAAGACTAAAAATGTCAGGGCCAAAACGGATATTGTGTGTGTGTGTGTGTGTGTGTGTGTGTGAATGAATGTGTGTGATGGATTCCTTCGGTAATCCTGTGGACCCTTTTTCAGAGTAATGTTTTAGATTCATAAAATAAAACATACATGATTAGAAAAAAAAAACTCAAACATATTGAAATAGCTATATAGATATATATTCCAATATTTCAATATTCTAATATTTAATATATCAATTACTATATTAATTATAATTCTATATTATATATAATTATTAATTATAATTACATGTTTATATATTCAAAATACATTTTTTAAAAGTTCTCAGACCTCAGGTTTAGAATCTCTGATCTAGACTAACCTTTTCATTTTACAGAAGAGGAAATTGAGTCCCAGAGAAGTTAGGGGACATATAGTTGATAGCAGAGCTGTGGCTCAGTCATAGTTAATAGCAGAGCTATGGCTCAAACTCAGGTCTTCTGACTCCAAATGAATATTTTTTTTATAAACCTCCTGCTTGAGTAAAGTTCAGATAGGCCTGCAACCTCATTCCTTTATTTTGGACTGAGCATGAATTCCAGGAAAGAGAAAGAATGTTGCTCCCGTGGGCTGCTGCAGACTTAGATTATTCAGCAATTTAACAAACTCTGTGCCAGCCCTCTGGTGCCAAGCACAGGGCCTTGCACGGAGTCCACATTTAACGAATGTCTCCCCAGTTGTTGTGGCACTGAAGGCTTTTGTGGAAGAACGTTCTCTTCTGTTTCCCCTGACATGCTCTTCTTAGATCCATCCATCGCTTCATGATAGCTTTTTTTGGTTGCCTGTTAATGTGTACAACATGTTATCTTGAGGCTACCAGATTCCTTTTCTCTGACCTCAGACTGCAGAGGTCTGCTCACTTAACTCTGAGACAGCTGCCGTCCCCTCAGCTGCACTTTCCCAATCCCTCCCTTCTTCTGACTGCTGGTCTCATGATATCCACAGGATTTAGAGCTACAAGAGACTTAAAGAGTTCATCTAGCTCAGGGTTTCTTAACCTCAAGTCTGTGAACTTAAAAAAAAATTGGTAACTGTATTTTGGTATACTGGTTTTCTTCATAATTCTGTGTATTTAATTTCATGCCTAAAAAATGAGATTCTGAGAAGGGATCTATATAGCCTTTCCCAGACTGATGGGTTAAGGGGTCTCAGACACACAAAAAAGTGAAGTCCAACCCCTTCGTTTTAAGAGTGAAAGGAACGATGGATTTGAAGTTAAAACTTGGTTTTAAATCTGCCCTCTGACCTTGGATGGGTAAATCATTTCAACTTCCATGAGCTTTGGGTATGGCTGATTTTTCTTTTTTTCTTTATATCCCAGCACTTAGCAGAGTTCCTGGGACATAGTATGTGCTAAATAAATGCTTAAGGATTGACTGTTAAATGGAAAAATACCTATTATGGGAATCAGATGAAATGATATATGTTTGTAAGCCCTGAAGCACTATATAGATATTAACTATGATTATTATTTTGCAACTCAAGGCACAGTGGAAAAAGTACTGGGCCTAGAGATGTTCCTTCTTTCCTTCCTTTCTTTCTTCTTTCCTTCCTTCCTTCCTTCCTTCCTTCCTTCCTTCCTTCCTTCCTTCCTTCCTTCCTTCCTTCCTTCCTTCCTTCCTTCCTTCCTTCCTTCCTTCCTTCCTTCCTTCCTTCCTTCCTTCCTTCCTTCCTTCCTCCCTCTCTCTCCCTTCCTTCTTTTCCATGATATTCAGTGAAGTGACTTGCCCGGCTAGTAAGCAGAAGAGATAGGATTTGAACTCCAATGTTCTTTCTGTTGCCCCAGATGCTTCTCCCTTAAGTGTAAACTCCTCTTGCCTCCATGATCCCACCAGAGTAGGAGTTGGGCAGGTAAGTCTAGTTTAAGGTGAACACATTATGACCAGGATGGATGCCAAAAAGATGTATCTATAGAGCCCTGGGCTTGAATCCTAACTCAAACACTTACCAGCTGTTCTGAGCAAATCACTTAGACACTCTGGGCCTCAGTTTCTGCATTTGCAAAATGAGAAAGTGGGATTTGATAATCCAACCATCCAGGCAACTCTTGCAGGTAAGTCCCAGGACTCACTCTCTGAGCAGTTACAAGGGGCTTTAACTTAATGCTTAGCAAGAGATGCCCAGAATGGCCCTACCAGTTCCAGAGGAGTGACTGAGGAATGAAGCAGTTGGTACTCAAGAACTAAATTATTCCTTCCTAGGAAAATGACTGGAGCAACTAGGCAGTGCAGTGGATAGAGCCCTGGGTTTGGAATCAGGAAGACTCATCTTTGGGGGCTCAAATCTGGCTTCAGACACTTACTAGCTGTGTGGTCCTGGTCAAGTCACTTAACCCTGTCTGCCTCAGTTTCCTCACCTATAAAATAAGCTGGAGAGGAAAATGGCAAACTTTTCCAGTATCTTTGGCAAGAAAACCCCAAATGGAGTCATGAAGAGTCAAATACAACTGAAATAACTGGACAATAACAAAAAGGAAAAAGACCAGCAGACTTATCTTTAAATTTCATTTCTTAGGCTCTTACGTATCCCAGTGGCTACATGACTGACTTTCTCTGTCTTACTACTTAAACAGGATATTACTCACTGGGCTCTGAGTGACTTCTAAGAGATACAATCTACATTTAATCATAAGCTGGTACTTGGACTGAATCTCTTTGCTTCAAGACTTAGGAGTCAAATGGGGATGTTAGACTGTGCCAAGAACCCATACAACAGGATGATACTGATACAAGTAAATGCTCTCAGAAGGAAGGCTTCCCACTCCTGCTTAACTTCCTCCTAAGTTATGCTATTAGGGCTTTTACTGACGTGGTCATTAGTACATTCAACTTCTCTTCATGTGATCCCTAACTGCAATAACAAAAGCAGAGGGCCCAGGAAAAGGAGACCTGTTGGCCCCACTGGCCTTTGCTCTAGACAGGCCATAACTGGAAAACCGTATTCAGTTCTGGGGTCCTATTTTTAGAAATATATTGACTAATTGGAGAGTATCCAGGCAAGGGTAAACAATATGGGGAGAGCACTGGAGACTGGGCAATAAGAGGGGTCATCAAAGGAGCTAAAGATATTAACTCAGAGAAGAAAAGACTTTGGAGGTTCATGCTATCACTCTTCCATCTGAAGATGGATTAGACTCCTTCTTCTTGGTTCCCAAGGACAAATCTATGATTGGCAGATCAAGGCTTACAGGGTCCATAGCCTTCCTCTGCATCACAGGGGGAGCAGACTTGGGCTTTCTAACACTTGGAGCAGTTCTAAAGTAGAATGGATTGCCTTGGCAGGGTAATGAATAAACCCATCACTAGATGTCTTCAATGAGAGGTTGGGTGACCTGCTGGAGAGATTATATTAAGTTTGCATAATTTGAGCAAGCAAGGGTTGGTTTGAGTGTGGGTTGAGCATAGGGGCTGGACTAGGGGACTCCCCTGCCAACCAGTTAGAGTTCAGTTGAATGGAATCAATTGAATTCTTTCCATTTTCAAGTACATGACAAATTTAAAGAGAAAATATGAGTTTCTGAAAACAAAACAAAACAAAATACTGACTTGCAGTCAGAAGACCCAGGGTCTAGTCTTCATTTTGCCTGTAATGTAGCTCTATGACTTTGGCCATGGCATTTCACATCTCTGAGCCTTAGTTCCCCACTCTGTAAAGACAGGGTATTGGACTAAATGGTCTTTAAGACCCATTACCTTTCTAAAATTCTATTTTCTACCACCTTCTTCCAGATGTGGCATTCTGGGATCTAGATGGTGTAGGGATCCTGTGAGTACTGATATCTTATGAATTATATTCTAAGGTTTTTCCCAGCTCTGCCATTCCATATTCAACATTTTGAGATTCCTCCCAGCTCTGATTATTTTCTAGGACATTTTTCTATGTTATAAGATCCTTTCTAGCTTGGGTATTCTATATTCTATGTCCTAATGGCCCTTTTAGCACTGAAATTCTATGATACTGTTCCAAGGGCCATGCCGGCTCTAACGTTCTATTATTTATATTCTGTTACTCTCACCTCTACTATGTTCTAAAGGCCCTTCCAGCTCTCGGGTCCTAAGAACAGTAGATGTAACTTTCCATCCATTGTTCTTAAGTTATTTTGATGTCCTTTGCTCTTTATTCCTTTCAAAGTTGTACACATATTTTGAAACAAAGCTTTGGAAACCTACCTGTCTAGAAAGCCTGATTTTCTTCTGATCTTTGGGGCAGACTATTCAATCAATCACAAGGGGATGGAGAAAGAGGAGGAAGTCACTCCTTTCAAAAAAAGGGGCTGGGAAGCTTCCCAATGTGCCAAAGGCAGATAGGCAGAATTTCCCCAGATCCTGAGGAGTTCTCCTGCAGAAGGAGGGGCCAGTACTTACTACAGCACTGCAGGCGGCCATCTCTTTGACACGCAACATGACTTCTTGGCTGAAAGTGGTTGGCCAGAAGACCTGGGACACGAGCCCTCGGCTGCAAGCTTCCTGAGCTGTGAGTTTCCTTCCACAGAACAACATCTCGTTGGCCTGCAAAGGGCAAAGACAAGGACATCCTGAGGGATCCCAACATCTCAGAGCTGGAAGAGACCTCAAAAGGCATGGAGGCTTATCCATCCCTAATCATGCAAGATCCCCTCTGCAACACTCCCAACAAGTGATCACAACACACACACACACACACACACACACACACACACACACACACAGAGTAAATAACAGTCAAGATCCAGGTCCTTTAACTACCAAACTGCCTCCCTTCTAAAGTGCTTCTGAGATGAGGTAACTCCTCTATCCCAATTATTGGCACTAAATATAGCATTTGCCTGAATATGCCTGTTAGAGACTGACAGAAAGTATGAAAGTGGGTCATAGATTGTTAGGTCTTAAAGGGACTTAGAGAATGGTGTACTAAAAGGAATGCAGGTTTGGAAGTAGAAAGAACATTGGATTTGGAACTGGAGGACCCAGGCTCAAACCTTGGCTCTGCTGCTTAAAAGATGAATTCAATTCACTTGAAATTTAACAAACATTTGTTAAGCGTCTATTCTGGACAAGACACTACACTAGGTGCAAGGGGGATAAAAAAGAGAAGAACATGTTCCTAGCCCGCGAGCAGCTTACATTGTATTAGGGAGAAATATGTTGACAGAAACGAAATACAAAATGGATACAAAAAAAATTGCAGATCAGGAAACACCAACTGGGGAAATAAGGAAAAGCCTTTTTCTTCTTTTCTTTTCTTTAGGAAGTGGCACCTGGACTGAGCCTTCAAGGAATCAAGGGAATATGAGAGGCAGAGATGAATGGGGAGTGCGTTCCAGGCATAGGGAACGGCCTATGAAAGGCTCAGTAGTGGGGAATGGAATAGAATGAATGGAGATCAGCAAGTAGGTCAGCTGGGCTGGTATAGAGAATGGATAAAGGGGGTCATGTGCAGTAAGCCTGTAGAGGTAGACTGGAGGGCTTTAAAGATGAGAGTATTTTATATCTTATCAGAGAAGTAACAAGAAACCACTGGAGCTTCTTGGTCTGATCTGCGCTTTAGGAACCTCATTTGTCAGCTAATTAGAGGCATATGGAGGGGAGAACCTGGAGGAATGGAAACCAATCAGCAGCCTTACTTCAGTAGCCTAGGCAATAGGTGGTGATTGCACGGACTAGACTACAGTGTGACCAGAAGCAGGCTGGAGCAAGCTCACACCAGGTCAGGAGAGGCAATTGTTAAATTGTTAGGGTTGAGAATTTATACCCCAGAAAATCTGCAAGCACCACAAATCAGGGCTTAATTTATTGTTTTGTTGATTGTCTAGACTTAAGAAAGTGATGGAGAAAATATTAATAATGTTGATTAAATTTAAAAGTATGTCACAGCACATTTTTTAAAATTTCCCCTGGAAAGCTGGGAATATTTATGAGTATACTCCATGTGAGTGGAGAGGAGGGAATGGATATTAGAAATATTTGTGGAAGTAAGACAGACAAGATTTGGCAAATGATTAGATATCAGGGGAGGGAGAGAAGGAAATAGTAAAGAATTAAAGATGACTGGCTCCAAGGTTGTAAACTTGGGTGAATGGAAGGATGGTGGTGACCTCATCAGAAATAAGAAAGTCCATAAAGGTGAGGGTGGGGTGTAATTAGCTATGTTTTGGACTAACTGCCAGCAGGGTTTTATCAAAAATAGGTCATACTAAGTTAACCTTTTACTCAGAAGCACCCAGGTGGTGTAGTGGATAGTGCGCTGGGCCTGAAATCAGGAAGACCTGAGTTCAAATCTGGTCTCAGACACTTTATAAGCTTTTGGTCATTTAATGTCTGCCTGCCTCAGTTTCCTCAACTGTAAAATGGGGATCATAATAGCACCTACCTCCCATAGCTGTTGTGAAGATCAAATGAGATAATAGTTACACGATGCCTGGCACATAGTAGGCTCTTAATAAATCTATTCTGTTGTCAAGATTACTAACCTGATGGGGCAGAGAAATGCTGAATCTCCATTTCACTTAGATTTAAGTAAAGCATTTGATAAAGTATCCCAAGTTATTTTTTATAAAAACATGGGACTGGCTGGCTGTATAATAACCAGTTCAATGGGTGGACCCAGGGGTCAATGTCAATTTAGAAGGTCATCTCTTTGTGTAGATCCATCCCGGCTTGGTGTTGTTTCACATTTTTATCAACGTTGTGGACAGACGCCTAGAAGGAACACTTTTCGAATCTGCAGAGGACACAAGGCTGGAAGGGATAGCTAACACCCTAAATGACAGAGCTGGGATGAAGAGAAGCTCTTGACAAGCTAGCTAGCATGTCAGGCTGAGGTGAATAAGAGAAATTTGATTAATGGTCACGGATTGAAGACATTAATTTCACAAGTACAAAACTAGGGAAGATGTAAGGGAGGGAGGAAACAAGCATTTCTATAGCTCCTACCATGTGTCAGGCCTTATGCTAAGTGCTTTATAAATATTATCTTAATAGATTCTCAGAACCACCCTGGGATAATGATGATAATGACAGCTAACATTTATATAGATCCTGCTACGTTTATGTAAGAATGGCAGAGAAGCATGCCCTACCCCCATTCAAGTAATAGTCTTCACTGTACTCTGCCCTGGTCAGACCATATCTGAAATTGTGCTCAATTCTGGACTTCCTATTTAAGAAGAACCATTGATAAACTGGGGCAACTACATGGTGCGGTGGATAGAGCACTGAGTCTGGAGTCAGGAAGACCTGAGTTCGAATCCAGCCTCAGACACTTAATAGCTGTGTGACTCTGAGCACCTGACTTACCCCTGTTTGCCTTAGCTTCCTTATCTATAAAATGAGCTGGAGAAGGAAATGGTAAACCACTCCAGTATCTCTGCCAAAAAACCCTCAAATGGAGTCCAAAAGAGTCGGACACAATTGAAAAATGACTAAACAACAACAAAATTGATAGACTGGAGAGAGTCTAGACAGGGCAGCTGGGATGGTGAAGGGTGTTGAATTCATTACAAATGCAGATTAGTGGAAGGAGCCGGGATGTTTAGCACTGAGAAGGGAAGATTTAGTGGAGGACACAATGGCTGTCAGTCAGCAAGCCTCTCAAGGGTTGTCACTGGGATTAGGAATTCAATTTGTTTCATTTGGACCTGGTGGGCCTAATGGGGAGCAGTGAACGCAAGTGGCAAAGATGTAAATTTAGGTTTGATTGGCAAAGATGTAAATTTAGGTTTGATTGGCGTAAGGAAAAACTTACTGAAAATTAAGACTGGATCTTATAGACCAGGAGTTCTTAATCTTTTGTTGTGTTGAAGTAAATGCTAAATTTTAGTTAGAAGTTAGTAAAAATAAAGATGAAATTTTTCCCCATCCAAGTTTGTGAACACCCCTGAAACCTCTCCATGGACCCTATGGAAGGACTATGGATGCTGAGAAGTCCTGCTAAAGAAGGCATTTTTACTGAAGTATGGGCTGGACCACATGGCCCTTGATAGGTCTTCCAGCTCCAAAATTTGTTGGTGCTCCCCTTTGAGCTTGGGGGAGGGCACTGTTGCAAATCTGTGTCATTGGGGAGAGGAAACTTCACCAACAAATGTTTTCACGCCCCCTCATCCTGGGAGAGGGAAGAGTAGGAAGGTCTCTACCCATGAGTGATAATTCCCCGTAGCTGTGGCTTAGCTTGACTTCCATGAGGTCTCCTAAGGCCTTCAAAGGTACAATGATTTCCTCAGTCCTTTATGTTTGCAGTGACCCGCCCCCACCTTGGTAGCAGTGGGGGAGATTCAAAATCAAAGAGCAGGAAGAGTGGATTATTTGGACTGTATTTGCTGGGTGCTTCCCCACTTTCTAGGTGGAAAAACAGAAAACTCAAATGCTCTTGCTGAAACCTGGGTGGTTGTCATCTTTGGTTCTCCAAGAGGACCAAAATGACGTCACTATGTTGGGGTCAAGGTGCAGTGTGTCTGACTGTGGCTGATCAGACCAATATGAGTTGGGAAGGCTCTACCACAGGTCAGGCACCAATAGACCATTGCAACATTTGGGGTGGAGATGCCTTGAAATTTATGCATCTCACATTTCCTTTGAGCTACTGCAATTATTAAATTGCCTAAGGTTACCCAGCAAATGGCAGAGCCAGGATTTGATGGGCTCTCTGCCCCCACCCTTCAATGCTTCCTCCCACTGTGTATTCCCCAGGTGGGCATGATTTTCCCCAGGCTCAGCAGCATTAAGCACTCCTCCCACCTAAGCCACGGAGACATCATCTTTCTATAAAAATGTCAGAGGGGAAGAGAGTTCTTTTTAACAAATAAATGAGCCCAGCGCATGGAACGGTCAGCTGGCGATGCACCAGGGCATGGCCTAATGCAGGTAGTCCAGCGTGATGGGCGGGAATGCCTAACTGCCTGTCAAACAGCTAAGCATCCACAGAAAATGTCCGTTCTGCCTCCCCCAGTGCCCAGGCTCTCCTTTAGCATGCAGGAACTGGAATGGGAGGAGCCACAGATATCAGACACCACGCAGGGACTCCTGCTTTGTCCGCCCTGGCCTGAGGAGAAAGAAGGCTGCCACAAAGCATCTTCAAACTGCACATGGGAGAGGGTCCAGACTTATTGTGTCTGGGCCCGAAAGGGCAGAGATGGGAGGAAAGGGCAAAGGGTGCAGAGAGGCTAATTTTAGTCTCAATTTAAACCACCTGATAATTAGAACTATTCCAAAGAATCTTGGCCAGATGGTTCTAGCATGCCTGGAGGTACTCTTTCCTCATCTCCACCTTATGGAATCTCTACCTTTCTTCAAAGCTCACATTTCAGGTGTTTCCTTCTATATGAAGCCTGTTCTGATTTCCTAAGTTATTAGTACTTTCTCCCTTCTCAGAAGGAATCAAAAAAGCATAAGTGGCACAGTAAATAGAGTGCTGGACCTGGAATTAGGAAGATCTGAGTTCAAATCTAGCATCAGACACTTATAAGCTATGTAACTCTGGGAAATCATTTAAGTTCTGTTTCCTCAACTATAAAATGAGGCATTGTAACAGCACCTACCTCATGGCATTGTTGTGAAGATGTACTAATATTAGTAGAATGCTTTGCGAACCTTAAACCACTATATAAATGTTAGCTAACACAAGCAGGGCCCAGACAACGACACCCTTCAGAGGGGTGGGATTATTACATTTTTCTCTCTGGGACTGGGGTTGGTGGCACACTCAGGGTCCTAGACCACTTTCTTGAATGCCCTTTATAAGACATATTTACCACAAAGTCACAAGATGGTCACCAGCAGCAGGACATGGAGTGAGACTGAGTGCCCCATCTCAAAGAGAGGTTTGAAGCAGCCCAGTTCCCTGAAGGGGGTATGGAGGGAGGCTTAGGACAGGATGGCTAGATGAGGTGGGCGTTGGAAGGACTGGGGACTGCTGGGGAACAGCTCATCTCAGAGGCCATGCATCTGAGCAGGAGGCAGGTAAATGTGGCCTGGGAGATCCAGGAGACTGTTCGGGGGTCCATAAGCGGTAGCGCAACCCTGTGTCTTGAATGACAGGTTCTCCTGGCACACTTGGGAAAGACCAGCCAGGGTCTTTTGTATGTACAACTTCATAGCAAGCTAACAATGTGATCAGAGGTTCATTTGAACCCTGAATAAGAAAAGTTAAGATGTGGTAGAAAATGGTCAGCAGGCCTGGATCTGAACCCTGGTTGTGATACAAGGTCAGCACAAACAAGTCACTCCATACTCTCTGAACTCTGGCTTCATGGGCTCTAACATTAGGCTAGCATTACTCAACCTACCTACCTGGCAGGGTCATTGGGAGGACAGCTCTTTGTAAATTATAAAACATTATAGAAATAGGAGCTACCTTATCTGTCACTTTAACATCTGCAAAACACTTTACATATGTCTCATCAGTTCTTCACAACAACCCTGGGAGATAGATACTGTTTTTTATTCCCATTTTACATAAAGGGAAACTGAGGCTGGGAGCCGCTATGGGACCTGCCCAGTATCACATATCGATTCAGCATCTGAAGCAGAATCTGAATTCAGTTCCCCACCCCCACCCCATGTCCAACAGTTGATCAATATCAACTAATCAATAATGAACAGGTAAAAACAATCAGGTGATGGCAAAGATCATTAAGGCAATTACAAAACAAGGATTCTTACCAGAGCAACACCGAGGATTTGTGGGAATGTGTATGAGGAGCATCCGGCAGGAGTGAGGCGTATGGTTGCATATGGTGTCTGAAACCAGGCCTTCTCACTGGCCCAGACTATGTCACAGAGGGGCAGGATAGACGCACCCAGTCCCAGAGCAGGCCCATTGATAGCGACCACAATTGGCTTCTTAAACTGGATAAAAGCTCTTACAAAATCCCTAAAATAAAAAAAAAATTAAAAAGAGGTGATCATCTTACAGAGATGAAATTGTGACCTACTTCTAACCTGTGCTAGGTACCCCTACCACCTAGAATTAAGTGAGAATAATGCAGGATCCTCAGCTTTCTCTGAGATGCCTGAGGGGATGGAAGCCCTCAGAATAGACTAGAAGGGACGATCTATGGCCTTCCCTGAGCTACTCCCTGTACCTCTTGTTGGCTACATTAACATAACCAGAGCAGGGGAAGCTCCATCATCCTCAGCTGTTCGAAGTCAGGCCTCATTTTAGGAAAGACACTGACAAACTGGAACAGGCCCACAGAACACTTGGGGTAGTGAAGGAACTCAAAACTCAAAACCAGTATAAAAAGACTGGTCAAATCATCTGGGGATATCTGACTTACAAGAAAAGGTCTTTGGGGGACAAAATAGTTGTCTTTGACCTGTTCTGCTTGGCCTCAGAGGGCAGAACTCTGGATAGGAGTCACAGAAAGGCACATTCTATTTGAAAAATTTCCTAACAGTTAAGAAGCTCTACTCCTCCAATATAATGTAAACTCCTCAAAGTCAATGGTCCATCTTTCTGTCTTCCAACACCTAGCACAGTACCTAGTACATAATTTGTTGTTGTTTAATAATTTTTTCTCTCTAAAATGAGGGTATTTTTTCCTTCTGTTGTTTAGCTGTTTCAGTCATGTCTGAATCCATTTGGGGTTTTCTTGGCAAAGATACTGGAGGAGTTTGCCATTTTCTTCTCCACTTCATTTTACAGATGAGGAAACTGAGGCAAAACAGGGTTAAGTGACTTGCCTAGGGTCACACAGCTGGTATCTGAAGCCACATTTGAATTCAGGTCTTCCTGACTCTATCCACTGTACCACTTACATGCCCTTAGCACATACTAGGTGCTTAATAAATGCTTGTTGACTGGCCTATCAATTGACTGACATGCCCTAGATTAAAATGGGCTTCTTTAATATGTAGCTAGAGCCCAATTAGTTGAAGTATTTTAGCAGAAGCTGAATGATTTTTTATTAGAGGTCTATGAATTGGATAGAAGCCTAGACTAAATGACCTCCAAAATCCTTCCAATGATAAAATTCTTTGATGACTTAATTTCCAAAGAGATGTTTGTTTGATTTCCCAGTTTCACAGTGTCATTAAAAAGCAATTTGTAGAAACACTTTTTAGTGAGCAAGTGATTATCATTATGTAAATTTCTCAGAAGGAAAAAAAAATCCACTATTCCTTGGTCATGCTGGGTTTGACTCTATATACCTGTGTATTAACCAGAGAATCATGGCATGCCAGTACTCGAAGAGACCTTAGAGATTATTCCTAATCTCTACCCCAGAGCAAGAATCCCCTATATCAAATACATGGCAAGTCATCTAATCTTTACTGAGGACAGTATCTCGCTTGGCATCCCACTCCAATGCTATATGGGTCTAATGGTAGGAAATTCCTCCTTGCATTGAGTCAAATTCTTATCTTGGCAACTTCTGTTTATTACTGCAGTTCCACCCTCTGGAGCCAAGCAGAATGAAGTTAATCCCTCTTTCATACAATAGTTCTTCATCTATTTAAAGAATCCTAAAAAGTCATTTGTTTTAGAACAATCATCTCCAGTCCCTTCAACCAATTCTCATACTGCCAGGGTCTCTAGTCCATTCACCATCCTCTCCAATTTAATAATGTGCTTCCTAAACTGTATTTCCCAAAACTAGAGTATTTTATGACATGTACCACAATGTGCGGCCTATAGCTATATAGCTAGTATCTTCAGGTCAATACATACATACACACACATACACACACACACACACACACACACACACACATATATGGATCTGGTAGCACCCCTATGCTTACGCTGGATGGAGTTCTTTATGTACATGATTTGGGGACTGATAAAGTAAAAGAGATCAAGGGGGTACACACTGAATGAGATTCTGTCTCATACTGTCATTAAGTTTAGTGTCTAACATTCTTAGAATGGGGCAAAAAGCCCATAATAGCAAGCACACCAGGGCACTAAAAAGAGAAAACCAGTTAAAAGAGGGGAAACCAATGGAAATGATGGAACCTGATAGACTGATAAATCGTGGAGAGTAGCTATTGAGCAGTTTTAAGGACGTGGAAAATCACAACGTTCAACATTTTCCCCAATCATATTGCCTCCCTCCCTTTCCCTGATCCAGACAATGGCACTGCCCTGGGCCAAAGACCTGTATCTCTGAGTGTAACACATATGTGCGCGCACACACACACACACACACACCTACCATACACACACATGCAAAGCCTGTGGCACCATTTTAAAGAATGGGGATGACACTGGATGGAACAGGAGGGCGCAGACTGCAGCCACAAAGATGGGGGCACTCCACATCTGGGGGTCGCTGGCATAAGCTCCACTGAGTCACATGGCCACTCCTCATGGGTCCTTTGGCTATACACAAATGGGTGTTCCTGCCATTGTCAGCAGCTTCTTGTTGATGAAAGTCTATGTCTTTTCAGCAATATTTCAAACCATCTCGACTCCTTTCAACAATCTAGAAACCAACCTGTGGTTTGGACAACTACTGCTCGACGCGCCATTTCCTTGTGTCCAGAACATCCCAATTTCTTCTCTCATTGCAAGCAGTGGATTAAAGCACACACATATACAAATATATTAAAAATATGGGTGCCGAAAATGTGAAAGATAAAGGAAAAAAACTAGAGATACTGCACTGAAAGAAATCACTGAGACTACATTGACAGCCAGCTGTTCCAGGATATTCTATGACAAACTTGGCCCATACCCTATGCACACTTACAGTAATCCTTGACCCTGACATTAACTATGGCATGCATTGGCATGCCATTGGCAGATTATTCACAGACCTGCCTGATGCCACAGGATTTATCTTATTCCTGATGGTATACCTTTTCCTCTTTAGCCTTTGTCTTGGGCTCCATCCAGTTAAAATTCTGAGGAATACTGGCCTGCCTGGAGATAGAGCTCCTTGGACCAGGGGCTTAGAGCTAGGCAGGTAAATTTCAAAAGCATAAGGAAGAAGTATTTTTGAATGAGGCAGCAGGTCTCAGAATCTCAGTTCATGCACAGAAGCCTCCCGTTTGGGCATGGCATCAGCTCCGGGAAGGGGCGCGGTTCCTGATTCAGCACCTGCCACACATCCTTGCCTTCCCCTGTAACACTAGAGACCTGGCATCAGGAAGTGCCCCCTACATCCACCAATGGACATGTTTCTGAAATTGATGCTTCAAAAATCCAGATGATATTAATGTGGAAAATATTTCCACCAATGCAAATCACTACCCCTCCTTCACCTAGTAGATGGTCACTATGAGTAGTGACCAAAAATTGTATCCTCTGGGAGATACCTGTCTGGCGACAAGCCTCTCCACATTTAGCTGAGCTGTTCCTCCAACAGCCAACATATAATCCATCACTGGGCTGCTTGAAGCACGTCCAGCTTAGGAGGGCCTGCCAGAGCTCATGTCTTGCTGGCAAAGCCTCTGAGAACCCAAGGTCACCTTCACACCATGATAAGGCATAAAGGAAGACTGTAGGATAAGAGTGGAAACAACATTGAATCAAGACCACTAACAGGCCGGGCGTTAGATCCCAGACTCGTGGAATGTCAGAGTTGGAAGGGAACGTAAAGACTTCATCCAGTCCAGTCTCTGTCTCTTCATCATTTCTGGCCATCCCCACACCATGCCATAACCCCTAACTTCCTCCAGCCAGAATCTTGGACCCTGCCCATGAGATGCTGAGCTCTGTCAGGGGAGTTTTTACCTTATCTGGACCATCAAACTTGCACCCTACTTCATGGCCATCTCCACCACAAATTGTCATGTGTACTTCCTCCCCTTTCCAGCTGTCTCTCGCATGCCGTCTTTCCCTCTTGAAGGCACGGGTTGTTTTGCTTGCTTGATTAACATACTTCCTGGCACACAGTATTCAATAAGTGTCCTATCTATCTATCTATCCATCCGTCTGTCCGGCTGGCTTTGTCTGTCTATCCATCTGTCTGCCTTTCTGCCTGCTTCTCTCCATGTCTCTCTCCTTCTTCCCTCTTATTTTTTTGATCTCATTAGTTCTAGTCTCCTTTCAACATGGAGGATTGCTCAAACCACGATTCTGTTTCTTCCTCAGGTCAACACCATTGGCATTTTCAATAAAGTGCTCATAAGCCATAGAAATTCTGAGCTTCTAGACACATCTACCCACTCCCTCTCTGAAAAGACCGGGTTTTCAAAGCTCAGCTTTACCAAAATCAGCAGGATATGCCACCCATAAACTTCAGCATGTCACAATTGGATGACTTTTTTTTTTTACTGACTCTTCCCCATTGCCCAAACCCAAGTCACCTACATGTTTTCCTCTTCATCCGCCAGAATCAAACCAAGCTTTCTTCTTGACAATACCATCTCTCATTATGGAAACAAGCAGGAATGTGGGAAGTCTTAGCCTGAGAGGGAGACACTGAAAGAGAGGGCTAAGCCGAGGTGCGAGTGCTTGGTTACAGTGGGAGGCTTCTATAGCTTTGGCTATCTTTGAGGCCATTCTGCCATAAGCACCATCAACACTAACTTGGGGAAGGATAAAGGGATAGCTGCACGCTCACAATGCAAAGGCCTGGAGAATTATCCCAAGAGAAAAAAAGTCTAAAGCCAACCTAAACTTTTGCTCTATTACCAACTAATTAGGCAGCGAACCTTTTGGCACTAAAACAAGTGATTCAGCCCAAGCAACTCAATCTTTCCGTAAAATACTTTATAAATGTAGGCTAGCATCTAATCCAACAAGTGCTTATTAACAGTTAGCTTTTATATAGATCTTCGAAGGTTTGCAAAGGGCTTTATAAATGTTATCTCATTGATCTTCACCCTAACTCTGGGAGATCGGTGTTATTATTATCCCCACTTCACAGTTGAAGAAAACAAGGCAGACGAAGGCTGAGTGGTTTGTCCAGGATCACATAG